CACCTGAGTTTGGCTGGGAAGCGGCTGCTTTGGACAAGCAAAGTTTCCCATCGGATTTTGGCAGTGCAGTCTGGCAGCTCTCTCATCTGAATGGGAGAGATTTGCTCCCATTTGCACCATCTGCACTGGGGCTTCGGGTGGGTGATTTCTGCAGGTGTCACCACAAGGTACTGCTTGGAAAGAGGGGAACTGGGGAGAATCTTCCTGTGTAGAGGCAATAGTTAAGTTGAGCTCAGCACGTGCAAGCCTTGGGTTATTTCTTTGCACCAAACTTGACCATCCTTGAACCGCCTGATCTGTCCGTGTGGGAAGTGGTGTAAGCTTGAATGGAGCGAGGTGGTGGGAGCAGAGGGGCAGTCACTGTTGGGTGCGAGAGGGTTAAGGAGGAGGTACTGGGTGCCATGAGGTCTAGTTACATGAGGAGGGGCAGAGCAGGGGSTTTGGGCTGCTCCTGGGGGCTCGGGGTGCCACAAAAGAGCATTGGGTTCTGCACACGAGGGCTGCGCGGCAGTCACTGCCTGGGAACCTGGGAGAAAACGGAGGGAGAGGAGGGAAAAGCAGTTACCGAACTGGGGGGAATGGGCGAGGAGGGACCCGTCAGGACCTTCCGCCCTCGCAGGGAGAGGCGGTTTCATGGAATCCCTGAGGTTTGGGCGCAGCACCCGCCGCCGTCCCCGCGTCCCGGCGTGTCGGCCCGCGTCCGTGCGCGGCCCCGGGGGCGCCACGAGCCCCCCGCTCCGCAGGGCCGGGCCCTGCTCCGGAGCAGCTCCGCGCGGCCCRCGGAGCGAGCCCGCGTTCCCGGCGCCTCCGCCGCATTCCCGGMGCCTCTGGCAAGGACGGGGAGCGAGTGCCACCTTGTGCGCGGCGGCAGCCTCGCCTCCCGCGCCGAGGAAGACCTCGCCGCCCTTCCTCCCTGCTCCGCATGGGGTGGAGGTCCCCGGCCTCCCTCCCTCTGCAAATCCCTGCGGGTTTCAGCGCGAGGTCGGACAGGGACGTGTTGGGGCTGACCCGCTACAGGGCTGGGGGCCGGAGAATACGGTTTAATGTCCTTTCTGCTGCTTGCTTTGTGATGACAGAGCGAAGAGAGAGCTCTCACCACGGGGAACACAGAACTGCATTGAAGGGAGGAGGAAGAACAGCTTTCATCTACATCCCTATTCAGAGTGGAGTTTGATTTGAGCTGCAGTCTTGCAATTAAATTTGTAGGTGAGTGCCCGGATGGGTCAAGGACACGGAARGGTTCCTTGGTGCTGAGATGACAGAGATGCCATCTGGGGGGCTCTGGCCCTGCTTGGGCACCAAGTTCCCCCCACGGACCCCTCTGTGCCCCCACGCCAGGACAGGGACAGCAGTGCCCTCCTGCGGTCCCCTGCCCCCTGCAGCCACCGCAGTGGCTTTGTCACCCTATTGTCACCCTATTGTCTTCTCTGGWTGCACCCAGCTGGTTTCGCCTTGGGTCTCCCTTTGGAAGGAGGGTGCCGAAGGTTTAAGAAGGCGCCGCCGCCTTGGGCTGGGCTGCAGCTCCCCTGGGGCTGCCTGGGGGGCTGCGAAAGGCGGCRGGCGATGGGGAGCCCTGGGAGCCCCGCAGCGCCAGGGGGATCAACTCGGGACACGGAGCAGCTCTGCGGGAGCGGCGCCTTTGCCTCCGGGTTTGCAAACCCTCCGGGGCCGGGGAGCTCTGCTCCGCATGGGCTGGGCTCCAGGGAAAGGTCCCAGTGTCCTAGAGAGCAGCCTCCGGAGAGAAAGATGGAGCACGGGAGTCTGGGGAGCTCTGAGCCCTAATCTGCCTTTACCAGGGGCCCGTGGTCTTTCCAAAGGCCGGGAAAGAAGCCACGGGAGGGTACAGCCCTATGGGCACCTTTTTACCGGGACACTGTCCCGTACACGGCCAGGGTGCTGCTGGTTTCCTCGTCTCTGTCAGCAGCCGCTCGGGTGGCCRCGGGGCCGGGGAAGCTGCAGGCCGGGCGGCTCTGCCGTCGTTTGAGGGGGTCCCTTTGGGCTGCGGGGGCCAAAGAGCACCCGGAGCCGCCGGGCTCTGCAGGCTCTTATGGACACTCTGTCGTCCCCACCGAGCGCTGACGTCTATAGGGGTTGTTGTGAGGAGACAAGGAGGCGCTTTGGCTTGGGAAGGCACCTGGATGCTGGGAGGCTCTTCCATAGGCACTGCTGGCTGGAAAAATCACTTTTGCTGGCRGCATCCTCTGAGCGAGGCAGGAAGGGCCGCATGGATTGGCACRGCCTCCCCTCTGTGTTCCCTAGGCCGGAATTTCTCATCTTTCCCAGGCTATTCCAGCGCTTCCCTACCCCTTCTGCTGGAAAACTTTCATCCTCATACCCGGTTCCTCCCTGCTGCAACTCGGGCCCGTTGCTACTTACAGGGCTGCGGAAAATGCGCGGCTCCCTCCCCTGTGCGGCAGCCGCTCATGGACCTGACTGTTAATGTCATTTCCCTGACCTCTTTCTTCTCCGTCTCGCAGGCCCACGTCACCATCCAACCCTCCCTCCRGCCTGGGCCCTTCTACAGCTCCGATTTCTCCTTATCCTCTTTGCAACCAGTCCGGGCAGCCCAAACCCGAGGCCTGACTCAGATGCGAGGTAGGAATGCAAAAGAACCGATGAAAAAATAAYCATCATTTATCCTAGAATCAGGGCCGTGTCCCTTGTGGTGCTTCTGGAGCAAATGATGTGTTTTTTAACCCGTCTTTGAGGGCTGCTGTCAGCGTTTGGATGGGACAAGGCACCCACAAGCAAAACCAGTCCCTGGCGATGTGTGCGTTAGGGTGAGCRGTGCTGTGTGTGGCTGCAGCGAGGGAGGTGCTTGGCTGTGGTTTTGGTGGCATTGGGAGGACCATGCAAGGGAAATAAGCCCGGATTTGTGCTCCGTGCCCGCTCCGCTATGGAAGGGCCTGGTCCAGGCACATTGCTGCAAACGGCTCCTTCCTGCTCCGGCATTTCCATCGGGAACCTGCACTCGGCCCTGCTGGGCCCGCGTTGGCACAGGGTGCCCCTGATYCCGGCTAAATCCTCCTCCGGGATGCCGAGGACGCCTGAGGCCGGGGTGCCTCGGTGCTGCCAGTGCTGCTGTGGGGATCCCAGCGAGGGCACCTCGTGCGCTCRGTGTCCCTGGGCAAACCCGGCCGCTCTGTGCCCAGCGGCAACCGCCTCAGGGGATTTGGGATCGGGACCCTTTGCCCGAGGGCTCCTGTCCCTGAGCGACGCCGCGTTGGGGGCGGTTTTGAGGACACACGGACATTTATACCCTGTCATTTGTGGCTTTCCCRCCCCCGCCAGTGTCCCGCTCCAGACACAATCCTGCAGGGCTCCTTGTCACCTTGGGCTGGATGAGAGGATCCGGATTAAACCTCTCCGCCCCTGGTGCTGTCTCACCTCTGGAATTTGTTGCTCTTGGTTAAGGGGAGGGCCCCGTCCTGTCCGCAGCCCCCGTTACCTGCGATCCCGCGGAGCTTCCTCGCACTCTTCGTGGCGCCGGGAGGGAGCGTGGAGCTTTCCCGCTGCAGGGCAGATTCCCAGGGAGAGATTTGCTCCTTGCTGCCCGCTTCCCAAAGCGCTTTAGTGGGATCTGGTTCCCTGCACGTCACTTATCCCCTCGCTCCCCGCTTTGCAAAGACCCGTGGCCTCCTGCGAGGGCAGAAGGGCCCTGGGGCTGGAAATCTGCCTGCGGAGGAGCCGGCACGGGGCGGATGCCCCTTGTCCCAGCAGGGACCGTCGTCACCACAGGGTCCCGACTTATGTCAGGAGAGAGAAAAGGAGGTCAAAACTTGTCCTGCGCCCTTGCAGCGCTCCGTGGACGTGGCAGCCGGCAGCTCTCCAGCACCTCGGGCGGGAGGGGAAAATTCCGGCTTCTCCTAAGGATGCGGCGGCGCCGGAGGCTGCGCAGGACGCAGGAGGATGGACACATAGCCGCGCGGCTCCACGGCCACCGCTGCTCCCCTTTCCTGGTCCCAATCCCCCTGCAACCCTGCCTGGACATGCCCAGGAGCGCCGTGGGGAGCGATCCCGCATTGCGCCCCGCGCCTTTCCGGGCCCCTCGCCCACAGGCAGCGATGCGGCCAGTGCCGCATCCCACATCCCACATCCCGCATCCTGCATCCTGCAGCCAGCACTGCGGGCATGGGGGCGCCTGCGGATTTGCCACCTTGGATGAGGCGGTGCAGCGAGGAGCAGGTCTCCAGAATCGAGCGCATCCCGCCCGGCACCTTTGGGCAGCCGAATAGGGAAATGTCCGCAGGCCGGGGGGCTCCACGGGGCTTTAGGAAGCTGAGACCACCCGGCTTGCAACAGAGGTTTATTGAGACCTAAAGCCTGAGCATGGACCTGGCGCCGACCTCCGAGGGCTTGGAGCCGTCCGGCTCCAAGAGGGAAGCGACCTCCGCGTTCAGCGCCGGGAATGGAGGAGCGGGATAACAAAGGGCGACACTGGGGACAGAGGGACGGGCTGGGATCCGGGACTGCAGCTCCACTGCAGGCGGCCGGCTGGGCTGGGGGCTGCGGGGGACAGCAGTAAAACRGGGAAGAAAAGGGRAAAAAAAAGAAAGGGAAAAGCCCCGCAGCCCCTGGAGAGCAGTGACGCTTATGCAGGGGGGGCCGCGTCCCGAGGGGGTCCCTCGCCCTGGGCGAGGGGGGTCCCTTGCTCTGCACCCGGGYGCCGCTCGCGCCCCCGTCCCTGCTCCGCGGCCCCCCCGGCTCTTCCCGCTTTGTCCCGCCGCTGCTCCTGCCCTTTGTAGCGGCGGGAGCCCCGCAGCGGGGCCCCCCCGCCGCCCCCGGCCCCCACAACGCGCCCCGGCAGCTGCCCCGCTTTGTCCCTGCCATTTGTCAAAGGGCCGAGGATGCTCCGTGGATCGCGCCGTGGCTGTTGTTAAGTGTAATTAGAGGGTTTATGTCCCCGATTTCCATGAGAATGAAGCTGTGAGGCTCCTCTCTTGGCATTCACCGCGTGCCTTAATTGTATGGACATTAAATCAAGGTCCGCTGTGAACACGCAGAGAGGGGCTCGGGCTGCGCCCGCCCCGAGCCGGGCAGCGGAGCGGGGCTTGGGGAGAGAAAGAGAGAAAAAGAGAAAAGGAGAGAAGAGAGAGATGCTGTCAGTGCAGGTCAGCCCGGGGAGGGGAGAGCCGGGGGGCCCCGAGCGGCCGCCGCAGCGCCCTGCCGAGCCACCCGGACGGGGACACGGGGACACGGGGACACGGGGACACAGACACCGCGGTCTCTATCAGTAAAAAAATAAAATCCGCTCCCCCCTCCCAACCCGGAGCCGGGAGCCCCGCGCGCCGCGACCCGAACCCGCAGCCGCGCAACGAGCGCCGGGGGGGCCCGCGCGGGCCGGGCCCCCCCGGGGGCGCCCGGGGCCCGGAGCGAGGGGCGCCCGCAGCGCGGACCCCCCCCCGGCACCAGCGGCTCCGCAGCCCCCTCCCCAGGGAAGCGGCAGCGCTGGGAGCTGCGCGGCGCTTGGGCACCGCCATCGCTCCAAAGAACGGGATATATATATATGTGTATATATATATATACACACACACACTCACATATATATATATTAAAAATGAGAATAATTAAAAAAAATAAAAATCGGGAGGTTTTTCGAAAAGGAGGAGAGCAAGCAAAGCGGTTTCGTTGATCGCCGTCGGCCCGAGAGGCGCTTTGCGCATTTAGGAGGATTTCTTTAGGTAGCGCCGCTGAAAAATCCTCGCCCCCTCCCCTGCCTCCCGTTTTTCTCTTTTTTTTTTTTCCGAAAAAAAAAAATATATATATATATATATATCACGAGCCCATTGAGGTCGCTTGCAAAAAGGGGAGAAAGAAAAACAAGGAATAATAATAATAATAAAAAATCCTGCTGCTGTTCCAAGTTAGCGCTAGCGCCGGCTGGCTCCGCTCCCGCGCCGAGGTCGGCAGCCCGGCTGCGGGCGGCTCCGCGCGGTCCAAGGGAAACAGCCCGTTTACCCATTCCAAGGGAAAGAGCCCTCGGCGGCTCCGGCGGCGCAAACTCCAGTGCAAACGCCCTCCCGTGGCTCAGGATGCTGCGTTTTGTGCAGGCGAGCTGCAGATGAATAAGAAAGGCGCCTAGTCCCTCATTATCTTTGAATTTCAGACTTTTTTTTCCTCTCTCTCTCTCTCTCTTTTTTTTTTCTTTCTCTTTTTTTTTTTTTTTTTTTCCTCCTCTCCTCCCGCGCTGGAACAAAGCGGAGGGAAACGCAGGCTCCTGCTAGGCTGTAAAAGCAGAACTTGGTGCACCACCCATCTTTCTCTTCTCTTCTCCAAAGCTCTTTAAAGGGGTTATGAGGCGTCTCTCTCAATTTATCCCTTTTCTCTTGATCTTCCTAGCAGAGGGGTTTGGGCTCTAGTCCTGGCTGTTTCAGCTGATCTCATCCAGTCTAAGGGATTAGAGCTTCTTCTCCGCATCCCGGCTCTCGGCACATCTGCTGATTGGGTTCAGCACAAGAGGATTACATCGGGACCCAATGACGTCACCGCCAGGACATAAGTTCTCCTCCATTAACCAAATCCTCATCAGCGAGATGTCCTTGAAACTCCGGGAGCAGCATCCCGGGCTGCGGCGCCCGCCCGGGGCCCCCTTCCCGCCGGCCTTTCCTGCCGCAGCTCCGGGCGCTCGGGCTGCTCCTCCGCAGCGCCCGCCTGTCGCCGAGCGCACACCCTATAAATAGGGCCCTGCACCTAAACTGTTAATCCGAGCAGCTTTATATATTCCGTTGCTTTTGCCTTTTTTTTTTTTTTTTCTTCCCCCCCCTCTTTTTTTTTTTTTTTCTTGCTGGGAAGGGAGGGGGTGGAGGGCCGGGGGGAGGGGAAAGCTGCATCCCACAGTTATATTCCCAAGCTCAAAAAGACATCAGCGATAATTTTCTTTAAAGCTGACATGGATGTAATTTTAAAACCGTTTTTTTTTTTTTTTTCACTTGTGTAGGATTTCACCCCCTTGGAGAAGAGACAACATGTCCCGAGTTATATAAAGCAAGAGGTTCCCTTTAAATATATATAATGCGAATTTCGTATTTGGGGGTTTAAAGCCAGATTTCTTCTCTCCCAATACTGCGTGAGCGCAGAGCCGCCGGGATGAAGCTGCTCTCGGCCGCCGGGAACACGGTTTTGCTCCCGAGTGCGGATCCGGGGGGATTGTGAAGCCCAGAGCTCTGCAGAGCGGCCCTAGAGCCGCTGCCACCAACCTGCCCCGGCTCAGGCCGTGGGGCCCTGTCCCCAACGTCCCCAATGTCCCCCCCGGCGGCCGCTGCACGGAGGTGAGAGCCGCCCCTTAGACATTYGTTCCCCCAGTTTCTCAGGGCTGCAGCTCTGGGCAGGGGGGAGGAATTGAACAGGCACCCGGCTCTGTCCAGCGTGGAGGGCGCTTGCTTGGGAGCCCGACGTGCCCTTCGGGATTGGCTTTTTCCGCATCGAGCTGCTTTTTAATTGCTGCCTGGTTATACATCCCTCGCCACCAAAAAAACCATGCACGGAATGAGTGTGCGCACGTACAAAATGAGCTTGCATGCACAAAAAATGCGTGTGCACGTATACAAAATGTGTGCGCACACAGAAAGCGTGGGCACATGTACAAAATGCATGTGCACGTATACAAAACACATGTGGACATGTAGAAAATGTGTGTGCGCGCATAGAGAATGCATGTGCACACGTACAAACTGCATGTATGCATATACAAAATGCATGTGCACATACAAACTGCATGTATGCTTATACAAAATGCATGTGCATGCATACAGAGTGCATGTACGCATGTACAAAATGCATGTGCACATGCGTGAAACACGTGTGCGCGTGTACAAAGTGCGTGTGCACACACTGGTTTTATGCTGGGAAGTGCAAGCTGCACCTTCCTACCCGGCCCTGTTCCCTGCCTGGAGGAACTTGGACGGCCAGCGACACCAGGCGCATTTCCCTGCTCCATGCCGGGTTCCTTCACCTCGGGAAGAGGATGAGGAGGAGGGAGGCAGGATGCAGCAGCCCGGACAGGCAGCCCCCYTCCCTTGCAGGCCACGCGGCTCCGTGGCGGCTTCCCGAGGGGAAAAAATGCCCCAAATAATGTCCTGGGAATCAGGGRCTGCTGGGTGCAGTGACACAGTGACAGTGACAGCGCACCTGGCCCTGTGTCGCACCTGGGCACGGAGCGGGATGGGGCAATTCCCATTCCCGTAGCGAGGGCAACTCCCCCTTTTCCTCCTCTGAAACTTTTCCTTAAAAACCAAGCAAACCGACCAAAATCTGCTTATTTACGGCCTGCTCCGTGTTGACCTATTTACTGCAGCGACTCTCGGCCTCGTATTGATTTTAAAGCAAAGAGCCTAAACAAATTAACGAGCGCCTTCTCTCGAGGGCTTGCAAGGGGGGTCGAGCCGYGCTCCGCTGTCGCCCCCAGCCCCGGGGCTGCCTCGGGCCCGGCTTTTCCCGGCGGGAGATCCCGGGGGTCCCCTGGAGCAGCCCCAGCTCCCGGAGCAGCCCCATTTCCCGGCTCCCGGTTCCGGAGCATCCCGGGCGCTGCTGCTTCGCTGTCCATGGTGTTGAAGGGAGCGGGCAATGGGTGCACGGAGCTAAATTCCGTTTTCTCCTCCCAAACCCGCCGCGTTTCCCTTATCTCCTCAGCAGGGCAGGGGAGCAGCCTCCTGCAGCGGGTCGGGGCTGCCCCGCCGTCCCCACGCTCCATCCCCGTCTCTTCCCCTCTCAATGCCGCTTTACCCAGAGCCTCCCTCTTAGCAGAAAAGCTTTTTTTAAAAAAAAAAAACGTTTTATTTCTTGCATTCCGCGCTAGGCCCGGCCGCCCGCGAGGGCAGCGGGGATGGACGTGGCGTTTAAGCCTCGTGTCAGTGCACGGCGGTGCCGGTGACTTAGTGCTGTCATGTGGCCGCGGGGGCAGCGGCCCCGGCGGGATTTTATTTCTCCTCCAAAACAACCCCCCAGCAGCCCCGTCCCCCTCCAGGTGACCGTTAATCCCCCTCCCCAGCCCCGCAGCTTCCCCCCGGCTCGCAGGCTCTCCAGGCAGGCTGGGGCTTTCGCTGCTATTTTATTAACACTTGCAATGAGACATTTTCTCTTAAGCACGGCCCTTCCTTAATCTCTAATGCAGCATTTCTATATCCCGGAAGAAAATAGTCAGATGATTTGCAAAGGGCCATTTTTTTTCTCTCTCTCTCTCTCTTTTCTTCCCCCTTTTCTTTCGTCTTCTCCCCCTCTTTCGCTCTCTGCCTTTTTAAACCTACCACCTACTGTTCCCCGAACAAAGAAATCCCCGAGACAAGCAACATGCCTCCACTTTCCTGCCATTTCCAAGCGCCGGCTCCGCCATGCAGCGATGACCACATGAGGAAAATACTCAGGACTGAACCCCAAACCACGCGCCGCACAACGACCCTTAGGGACCGTCCGCACCGCCCGGGTCACACGTATTATTTTGGGGAAAATATCCCCCCCTCCTCCTTGCTTGTAAATAAGGAAACTCTTTGTCTGCTTCTCCCGGCCCAGGGCCTGGCTCGGCCGGCGGCTCCCCCAGCTCGGAAGCGGCTCCGCTCCCAAGGAGAAGCCCCGATCTCCCCCCGTGGGGCCCATCCGGCCTTGGGGAAGGGGCTGCAGACACCAGGCCCCGGCAGCTCCACGGAAAGGAGCTGCAGAGCATGGCCTCGGTCAGGGCCACATTTTGCATTTCTCCCCCCTTTGTCTTAGAAAGTAATTCATTTTTTTCTTAGAAAGTAATTACACTTACAAGAGGTTTGGGAATGAGCTTTTCCTACCAAGTCTCCTCTCCCTCTTTTCCTCTCTCTGTCTCCTTTTGGTCTTCTTGGCCGCTGTGATTTTTTTTTTCTTTTCCCCTTGCGGATCTGTAATAAAAAAAAAAAAATTCCCTTTCCCTCCCCCTGGAAATGTGCAGCTCGCGGATCCCGGCGCCTCTTGCGAGGAGGGATCGGCCGCCGCCGCCGGGGCCGGGGGGAAGGAGGAGGGTCCTGCTCCGCACAATCCCATTGAGCCCCGTCCATCCTGCCCGCTCCTCGCGGCAGCAAATCCCCCGCGCCGGGGGGTCCCGGCCCCGCCGCCCCCCCGGCCCCACACGGTGACCCCCGCCCGCCGCCTYGGCCCGGGCTCCGTAACAACAGAACAGTCGGAATTTCGGGAGAAACGGCACAAAAATAACCCCCTTGTGCCGCTCTTTTGCCGCGTCCTGGATTTCCACGGCGGGAAAGGAAGGTTCCCCATCCCAGAGCTAATGAGCTGCTCCAGGCCTCTGCACTGCGGAACGGCTCCGTTTTCCCCCTTCCATGGAGATGTTTATTGGGGTGGATCAATCGCTAGGATGGTTCCCAACCTATATATATTTTTTTCTTTTTTTCCCCCTTTTTGTTTCCCCTGGAGTCCTCTCAAGGTCTCCTCCTCACCCCCAGGAGCTGGGCAGGAGGAGGGGGCCGAGAATGGGATGGGGCTGRGACGGGGACCGGGATGGGCGTGAGGACAAGGATCCAGACAGGGATGAGGATGGCAAAAGTGACAGAGAGAGCAATGGGGATGGGGAAGGAGCTGGAGCAGCGGGCGGCATTTCGGGAGGCCGCCGCTTTCCCGGCACCCGCGGGAGGGAGAAGCCGGGTCCTAGAGGCAGCCGGTGGCTACTGCACGTGTTTGCAGCACAACTAAAAGCGGGAGCCCCCCTCGCGCACACAGCCGAGCGTCGCCCCTCGGCAGCCCCCCGGGGCCGGGCGGGAAGGCGCCTTCTCCCCAGCCCGCTCCTTCCCGCGCCGCTGAGGTGGGAATCGGGCCGGGCTTAACCGGCCTCTCCGCTAAATCGCACCGAGTCCGAGCACGGCTCTTTATAAAACATCCCGCAGCCCAGGAGGACGGCATCCCCCGGACGGATCCGCGCGGAGCCTTGTCAGGCCCCCCTCCGCAGTGCATAAATCCCCGGGTCCAGCATCCCGGGATGGCTCCCGCTGGATACGGACGCATCCCGACTCAAGCCTCCCTTCTGCCTCCCTCCCTGCCAAAACAGGGCCCCTCGGACACACAAAACGCCGCTGCCGGGGCCCCCGGCCCCCTCCTCCCTCTTTGCGACCCATTAAACGCCCTCTATACATCCCCCCTGCGCCTTGTCA